TACATCTCAATGTCTCCAAGACCAAACTATTGGTCTTTTCTAAGACTCCAATAAACGCACATCTGCCTGTCAAGGGACAAACAATCAAACAAGTGACCTCAATAAAGTATTTAGGAGCTAACATCAATAGTCAGTGCGACCCGAAAAGAGAAATATTTTCAAGAATTGAGCAAGCGAGAAAAATCTTCGTGAGTATGAAACCATTTTTTACAAGACGAGACCTCAGTGCGGAACTCAGAACTCGAATGGCCAGATGCTACGTCTTCTCTGTGTTACTCTATGGATGTGAGAGCTGGACACTGGACACAGACCGAAAAAAGAATAGAAGCCTTTGAAATGTATGTGTACAGACGGATGCTGCGAATCTCATGGGTACAAAGGATCACCAACGATGAAGTACTCCAGCGCATGCAGAAACAAAAAGAGATACTGAAAACCATCAAGGAAAGAAAAATGCAATACCTGGGTCATGTGATGAGAGGTGGTAGATACGAAATACTACGCCTCATAATAGAGGACAAAGTGCAAGGGAAAAGATCAGTAGGAAAACGCCAGAACTCATGGCTAAAAGATTTGAGGAGATGGTTTGAACGCTCGTCTGCGGAAATCTTCCGGGCTGCAATTTCCAGAGCCACAATTGCCATTTGGATCGCCAACCTTCGGCAGGAGAGGGCGTGATAAGAAGAAGAAGATCTTTTGGGCCTCTTGTTGAGCGGCGGGCGGTCGAGCAACCGTGCAAACCTAGGAAACTTCTCTTTTGCGTCAAATGAACCAATTAAATCAATAATTAGCTTTCCAACACTTTTTTCCAAGTGACCCCCTCTAATTGGATTGGCCTAGTATAGATTTTTCCGAAATATATGTTTAAAAATAACTAACTGGCTTGTCATTTATTCTATGCAATATTAAGTCAAGCAATTATAAAAATGTCAAAAACAATTATCTTATTGATGTTATTGTTATTGTACTTTGGGAATTTTTGGCATATATGAACTCTCAACCTATAAATATTGAAGTGTTTTGAAAAAAATGTAACATTCACTGTAAATAATTCAAGTGGTTTAAAAAATTAATTGTAATAATAGATAATAAAAACATCTAGCTCTCAACCAGAATCATAACTTTGCTATTCAAGGTTGATGAAATTATTGTTAAGGTCGATCTTTTATTTTCTTCTTCAGGTGCATCTTTTCAAAACACTTGTCAACTAGAATCTTAGGCGAGATAGGAAACGAGGTATATTTTTATAATATTTCTAATTTCTTTTAAGGTTGATTCTAATTATACCTTCCGTTACCATTCCATATCCATTCCATAATCGTTCCGTATTTTTATTGTATTGACGCTATACGTAAGCTTCCGTTCCGTATCAGTTCCACACTTTTTCTTGTACAATTTATATCATTACGAAAGTTTCATTTTAAAAATTTGTATATTTTGAAAAAGGTAATAGATTTAATTAAGCGGCGAAAGAAAAAAATAAATATCATCAAAATTTTAACAGAGCTGGTACAAATGTAAGAACTAGACAACGCTGTTTCCGATACGCTTCAATTCGTCCGGAAGGAACGGAAGGATATGGAACGGACGGGAAACGGAACGGATAGTGTGCATTGTCCTATTCATTTACATGATATAATATTTTATGTAAACGGAAGGGAAGGAGGGGAACTAATATGGAAGGTATAGTGAGAATTAACCATTATATGGAAATTTGTCTTAGTCGGGTATCTTTGTCACGTATTTCGAGCTTTTATTGCAAGAAAGGAAAAAAACCCGTCTATGCCAAATTAATTCTGCGACCTAGGCGTCTGAAGGAGGGGACATTTAAAGATTCCTCCGCACTTCGCCATGCGTGAGTGTGATAGGGTTCATTCGGATGCTTTGTCTGTCTGAGGCCACGTTTGAGACAAGCAACGAAGCAACTAACATCTTTGGAAACTTTCTTCTTTAAATTTTCGTATTTTCTCTGAAGTAAATAACGAGCCAGACATCTTAAGATATCCAGATATCTTTTTATACGTTTTTAAATTATAATTATTTAATGTAAATAGTAATTATTTATTTTCAAACTCAATGAACACCTCAGTAAATTTATTGTCAAACTTGTACGTTTACGTTACGAAGGAAATGTACGTTTTGTGGCTTTGAAAAAGGTTAAAACTTAACCGAAACGTTAGTTATATAATAAACACTTCCTAAACCCAGAAAAAGTTTAATATTGACCAAAAGCCAAGAACCCTTTAAATAAAAAATATATTAGTTGGGTCAAAGAAAAGTTAATTAAAAAAATATATAATTATTTGTTATACAAAGTGAAATAATTTCTGAAGTAACGTCAATATTTAAAGTAAAATTGACATCTGGGAGTTTTTTGACATGAAAAATTTGATTTTGATGTCTCCTCCTTTGTCTGTGATGTTTTTATGACTTCTATTTGTAGAGGGCACCACCTACATATTTTTTAACTGGTTTGAAGACATTTTGACATCAAAATCAAATTTCTCGTGTCAAAAAACTCCCAGATAACAATTTTCATCCAAATATTGATGTTACTTCGGAAATTATTTTGAAAAAATCTAACCAAATGAAACTTCACTAACTACATTTTGTATCAAGGAAACTAAGCATTTTAGGATATACATTTATACGAACTTTTTTACTTATTTTTATCTGCAGAATATGCTGCCAAAGTTTCCGGAATACAATTCGGACCACCCTGTAGAATAAAAACCTTTTATTATTCAGATTTTGAGACAAATAATAGGTAGGCAGATATTTTATAAAAAAAATTGCTCGATTTAAAATGCCAGTACAAAAATGCATAGAAAAACGCAAGATCGCAAGAGTCTTGCGTGCCTGGTCTTGGTCTTGCGTAAGTCTTAGACTGTCGGTCTTGGTCTTGGTTTTGCAGGTCTAACGATGGTCTTGGTCTTGGATTTGGTCTTGTAAAAATGCAAGACCAAGTCCAGTCTAGCTAATTACTAGTCAAAAGAACTCGCAAAAGGTTTTTAAAATCCACGAAAAAAAATGCTGAGGGTGATGGTATTCTTGCAGCCATTTTTTGGCCGAAGCTCAAGAAGCAACTACGCATTTACTGCCTGCGAAGTCTAGAGAACTTTAAGAGATAGTGTACATTTATCCCACTAGTAGTGTTATACAGGGTGTCCCAGGCTGAGCGTGCATTAGAAGTTTCTAGTAGGTCTCTAGAAACTTCTAAATGCACGCTCAGCCTGGGACACCCTGCGTGTGTGTATAAAACTTCCATTATTGACTGTGGATAAAAGTAATATATCTCGTAAAAAAGTGTACTTTTAATTAATGGGTTTGTAAAAAACACTGTATAAAGGCTATTAAACTCTGCTCAATCGATTTTACGTTGACGTTTTTTTTTTTGTTAAACGGTCCGTGAAAGAAACGTATAAGTCAAAACGGTATGTCTGGGCTGAGATTGTGGGATAAAATATCGAAAGTTGTCGCCAGTTAAATCAAATAACTTTATGAGCTAAAAACCATTAATTAGAAAGAGTTGAATGAAACATTTAATGCTATTTTAACGCGAATAATGGAGCTTAAAAAGAATCAAGTTATTATGCTTTAGTCAAAATATTATGATTGTTTTAAGTTCTTAATATCTACGAATACCTAACTAAATGATTTTGGTATAAATAGACATATTTATTTTCAAAATTTTTAAAAATAAAAAAAAATTAAATTTTCCAAAAAATTCTCCGCGAAAAAAACTCATAATCGTGTTTCTGGGGTTGAAATATACTACCCCTAAAAATATTTGCACTTATTTAAGACTCACCCTGTATACTGGGTGCGTCTCAAAAGTGGATCACGTCTATAAGTTTTTTATTTCTCCAGATAAAACAAACGAGATTTGATATGTTAGTATACATACACTATCGGACAGAAGTAGAGCAACAAAGTTCATTTTTATTCATGTTTGAATAAAAAAAATATTAGGTTGTGATTTTCGGCTATGTTTACTAACACACTATCCTTACACTAAAAGTAATATTTTACAAAATGTTGGTGTACTTTTAATCAGTATAAAAATGGTAAATAATAATGATTATAAAAATTGATAAGAATGGGGGCGACAAAAGTAGAGTAACAAATTGTATTCAAGAGATTTTATTGTGTCTTATTTCAACAAAAAATATTTAACACATTTAAGAACAGTAATAATTGAAAGTAATACATTAGTAATTGATAGAATATCCATTATTATTAATAACTTGCTGACAACGGCGCGGCATTTAAGCAATCAACTTCTGAATGACATTTTCGGGAAGATTTGTCCAAACTTCATTAATTTTATCTATCAAGGATTGTTTATTTGGAAACATTTGGGTACGAATACGACGTTCTACTTCTTCCCAGAGATTTTCAATGGGGTTAAGGTCTGGGGATTGTGCTGGCCATTGCAAAACTCGAACGTCATTTTCCCTAAACCACTGAAATAAATTAGGATTGATTGATGTATTCAAATGTTTTTGGTCACTTCCTGTTTTATTGGAAATGGCTACATCTTCTGATTTTTAACAGTATCATTTTTATCGGATAAAGTAAAAAAATACCGAGGGTGTCATTTAAAAATCAAAAGTTGCAGTCATTTCCGGTGAAATAGGAAGTGACCGAAGACAATTGAATACGTCAATCAATCCTAGTTTATGTCATATACTAACATACGAAATCTCGTTTTTTTATCTGAAAAAATAAAAAAATTATAGGGGTGAGCCACTTTTGAGACGAACCCTGTATATATACGGTATACTGTATATATCGTCTAGTTTAATTCTAATAAAGACAACAGAAGCTGAACAAAATATTTATATGTCAAATGAATTGTTTACCAAAATATATCAACAAACAAACGTTGTATTATACCGTTTTGAATTAATTATTGTTAAATTTTTGTTGACATTGTCCAAACTGGTTTATTAATGACGAATCAACGTTAATTTAACCAGTTGCCCCAGTATGGTCTAAGTAGCACGCGTTCGTGTACAACGTAACATAACACTTTTACTTTTAATGGGTTATGTCATTGGTGAACCATCAAGAACCAGAGATGTGTCGGCGGTACGTCGCGACAGTGAAAGTCAGTAGTTCATGGTTCATACAATAATCTATTTGTTTTGGTTTAGAAAATTTACTGGTTAATATTTTGAAAATAATGATATTTTAATGATACCCGCATAGTTACTGTGAAATAAAATGATTTTTGTGACTTTGAGTTAAAGTGATTCGTATTGTGACATGAAGAAGATATAGGTATTGATGGTGTGGAGTGTTTTGTTAATTTTTATCAAGAAAAGGTAACGTTTTAAACCTTTCAGGGTGAGTTCAGATTTAAACCAAATTCAAAATTTTAATAGGGTTTTCAATGACTTCTTATTGTTGAACTTAGTTCAAAAATTAGGTATTTGACGATTGGAACTGAGCCAGCCCTTTTTAATGTATTAAACTGAGTTTTTAATCATCATAATAATATTATTCTACAAGAAAAATATAAATTTATGATGATGCTAAAACATGCGTACAGTGTTTTCTAATGCCGTATTATTATTAGATATACAGGGTGTCCCAACATTCCGTTGACATAGAACTAGCTACCTCGTATTTTTTGAATCAAAATAAGTTTATTGGACACAATTTACCTCTATACACAAAAGTGCTTCATTTATTCGTTAGAGGGCATCAAAAACTTTAACAAAATAAACACATTTCTTCAGATATTTTAAAAACCGTTATTCCGATTGGAATGAGATTTTGGGTGGCTATGTTTTACTAAATGTTTTAACATTTGACTTTCAAAAAAATCAGGAAAATGTACGGGAAGTGTGAAAACTACCCCTACCCCTATGTCCCTATTTTAGTATAGAACGACCCCTATTTTAGTATAGAAATTTTCCAACTCAACCGATGACGCGAGGGTTGATTTTTTCCCGTAAATTAATTCTTCTAGTATTTGCTACATTTTTTGTCACCTGTAAAAAAACGCCACTGCGCATAATTTTTGAGGAAAAAAGATATTTTTCCGAAGCTGACTTTAAAGATGTTTTTTTGTCATATCAAGCTATGGAGGCGCATAAAATCTATTATGCTCTAATAATCTAGTTGGCGACTTTTATGTTAGCATCCCAAATTATATTTGACAAAAAGTTTAATAAAAAGCTTAAGAAAATTAATAAATTTTAAATTAATTAACGTTTGGGTTTATTTTTGATTGATGCTCTCTAGCGGACAAACGAAGCACTTTTGTATAAAGGTAAATTATGTGCAATTAATTTATTTTAATTCAAAGAATACGTAGATGTTCTATGTCCGCGGAATATTGGAAGTCTCTGTATATTTTGTAGGTCTGCTTTGGAAAAATAAATTCTCCAAAAAAATTTTTCTCAAAAATTATGCGATGTGGCGTATTTTTTTTACAAGAGACAAAAAATGTAGTAGATACTAGAGGGACCATTTTACGCAAAGAAAATCTGTCGTCGGTGGAATTGGAAAATATTTTATATGTAAATTTACAATTTGAACGAATTTTTACAATGTATTTTGTAATTCTACATAGTAGCCTGTACTGTTCATGTAAATTTACGTATAATAGAAGAAATATTACATGCAGCCTTGTAAAAATACACATAAAATGTATTTTTACCATGCATTTTGTAAATATTCAATTACTCATATGTAGAAATACCTTCCTAATTATTTTTATGTAAAAAGACTCTAAATTGTCTGTGAAAAAATAATGTAAATTTACCGTAATTTTTATCAGTGTATACCATTTTTACAGTTAATAAATAATAAAACTATTTCTGACTATGATATTTAAAATTTAGATAGATAGAATATTAAAAAACATACCGGTATTTGCAGACGCAGGCCCAAATTCAATAAAAATCCAAAAAATCGGTTTTTTTTCACAGAAAAGGTATTTTTTGATTTATCAACAATCATTGTCAAGTTGACAATATACAGGGTGTTTTTTAATTAGTCTAAAAAATTGTGGTGTGATTCCTCATGTGTTCTTAAAACAATTTTTATATAACTATTAGGTCTAAAAAGTACTTCCTTTCTGATCTACAGGGTGTTAAAAATTAAAAAAAATCGATATTTTGCTTAACATAAATGGTACACTACTGCTTTTTTAAAGAAAATATATTTTTTTCTTGACTGGCCATCCTTTTTCAACAAAATTGATCTTTTGAGTTTTTCTTGTTCGTCAAACGGTTGCCGAGAAAAAAAATAAATATACTTATTAAGAGCCCGCCTTAAGCCGTTTTCTAACGATTTTTTATTTTTTAGATTAATTATGAAACACCCTGTATATGCATATCACAGGCAACCAAATAAACTAGTAACCTCTAAAAATTATTTTTTCTACAACTAGCGACATACCGTGTTTTTAGTGAGTACTAAATTATTTTATCAAAATTTCACCATGTAAGTTTCCAGGCAATGGTCAAGATTATTGAATAATTGTAGTTGTTTAATAAGTGAAATTAATAGAAGACTTGGAAATAGGATGATGTGTTTCATGTTACAGTTGATAGATCACCCCATTTCCCTTAATTTGTTTTTATTTCACTACAGTTAATCACAAATTGAATTGATGTGTGCAAAAACAGCTATATATTTTCAAACATCTTATTTAAATAGTTTTTATATACTGTTAAACTGTATCAACTACAGAGTCTTTAACAAAAAGTTATAAGGTAATAAATTTTGTAGATATAATTTTTTATGAAAACTTATAAAGATTAGAACAGAATCCTCTGAGGGAAAAAGAAATACTCAAAAACTCATTAAATATACTTTATTAAAAATAACAACATACAAAAACAGTCATCCATGCAAACTGTAATAATCAGAACATTATCCACATTATACCTTTATTAAATTTGTGTTCAAAATTAATAAAGTTTTGTTTAAACATTAACTTATTTTAACTTTAAATTTTTATATGAACGTAAACTTTAGTATAAAGTTTATGTTCAGGTGGGGGTAGTTTTCACCCTTCCCGTACTATTTTTTGATTTTTGTGAAACTCAAATGTTAAAGCACTTAGCAAAACATAGACACCCAAAATCTCAATCAAATCGGTATAACGGTTCGTAAAATATCCGAAAAAATGTTTTTATTCTATTAAAGTTTGATGCCCTCTAGCGGAGAAACGAGGCACTTTTGTATAGAGATAAATTGTACCAAATTAACTTATTATGATTCCAAAAGTTCTAAGTCTTTGAAATATTGGGACATCTTGTATTATATCTAGTATGGCCTTTTGATCTCTATAAAAATAAGATTCTTGCTTTAACCACAAGTCAAAAGTACCGTGAATTGCTTGGAGAAAAGAATGGTACTACCGTGTCCCCAGATAATATCGGTTTTAATTTTTATAAAGTCTTGAACACAGCTAATTTAGTACCAGCTGGTCACCTACGTTAATATTTAGTTGATATCATATCACCTATTGCCTCTATAAATATCTCAAAACGTTTCAAAATACTGGCCTTGTTTCAATGCCTGCAGAAAGCAAAATTTTTAACTTCCTACATTTATAAGAATGTTTCAAGGTGAACCTTCACATTTTAAATGTCATATTCTTTTGAGAAAAAGCCTACACTGTTTCAGGAAAAATAAATAAAATTCAAAAAACGTCGCTCCGAAGAATTCAATGAAAGCGAACAGATATAAGATCTTTTATAAAAATATTTGCTTTCTGAAAAACGTCAGTCTCACTCTCGGAAATACATGCAAGGATGACAATAAATACATATTTGCCCTAGATGTCCAATATTGTTTTACTTTACGCGGGGCTAAGCTTCAATATATTCGTTCATGTAAAAGAAAGATAATGTATCTTTGAAACTATTTTTAAAGTAGATAGAAGTGTGATTCTTTTCAGACTATTTTTTTATAGATCAAATTCTTTTAGTTTTTTATTCAATCATACAGGAGTAGGTAGTAGCATAGATTAGGTATCCAGATAAGTAAGTATACAGATAAAAATCTTGTCCCTAATTCGTGGTAAGAAAATTGTTTTTCATGACGATGTGCAAACGAGTCAAATTTCCTGTGCGCAAAAATAAACTCGCGTAAAATAACAATAAACAGCGTAATAGAGAGATATCGCTAAACCGAATAGCGTGCATGGACGTTAATAAGGCCAGGTGTTATTTCCTTTACGTGAGGTGGTATTAACTCTCTTCATTTATAGTTATCGGATCGGAAAGAATTCTGATCGCGTCGCGTCCGCTATTTAAACTTAACCTAACTTTGAATTTAAAACTTTGAAATTGTTTTGTTTACTAGGTATTTTAAAACTAAAGGGCTAAAGTGCTTATTTCCAGTGCTTTATTGTTCAACGTCTGCCAGTGGGTTTAGAGCAACAAGCAACAAATTCTCTTAGAAGGGCTAAGTCGTCATCTGCTGTAAACCTAAGACTCTTTATATGTTCTTTAGTATTGGAAGAGGTGGAATCCATATTTTGGGCCATATTTATTTAATTAAAACTAATCCCAGCTACTTAAATGTCAAATTGCCTAATAAAACTAAAGCAATAATTCAAAACAATTCAAACATAACCGGTTGTCAAATACCCGCACATGCTTATTTAAGCAATTTTTAAACGTTATCAGAGGTTATTTAGAAAGAGCGCTTGGTGTAATTGATCCGCAAATTACGTCAGGCGGTAACGTTATTAGCGAGTGTTGCGTTAAAAATGACTCGCGCATATCGTTACCATGATAAGGTACGCGTAAATACTGGATGACGCTATTCGGTTTTCCGATATCTCTCTAATAACTGTGCCGGTCAGGCGCTGTGCACAATTTTAGAGGCCATAAGTGGGCGTGCTATGTGCGCAAACTAGTCACCTAACTAGGGCCCGATTCCGAAAATTGGAACCACGAAAAACAATAAAGAAAAAACAAAGATTATAATCTGTATAATCTGTGGTAGTAGGTACCTCGTCTCACGCAGCATATTTATACATCAGATATTTATTTTACACCGTTCACTAATACGCGGTTTTTAAAGGTGCGTGCAGAGCTGACGAGACGAGAGCGAGATGAGCGCGAGATATTCCAAATTTGCTAAGTGTGGACGGGACTCGCGAGGGTATCGCGAGACAACCCACGGAGTCTTGTTACTTACTCGATCAAAGAAATATAGATCAAAGTTATAGAAGATATTTTATATAGACTGTCCCAAAACCGTTTAACATCACTCGATATCAATGACTAAAGAATATAGACTATCCAACGACAAGATCCTTGACAGTGATAGATGTGTCTGTCATTTTAATTTC